GAGATCAAGAAAAAGATGTACTTCTTTTACAACAGAGACGAGAGGCACCCCGAGACAGAGTCCATCCACAAGATTCTGAAAGAGATGGAGACGAGAATGAAAACAGAGTTGGGTTATTCACACATGGTCAACTTCTCCTTGCATGACGTGGAAGATGAATCGAGGGAAGAAAGCTTGATGTTTCACAGCGAGAAACTGGCAATCGGGCTTGCTTTGCTGAACGACGTTGAAAGTGGAGTCAATGTGGCAGAACCCATTCGTGTTTTCAAGAACCTCAGGGTTTGTGGGGATTGCCACGAGTTCATCAAGGGATTGTCCAAGATCTTGAAGGATAAAATTTTTCTGGTAAGAGATGCTAATAGGTTCCACAAGTTTGAAAATGGTGATTGCTCTTGTGGTGACTATTGGTGATACTAAATGGACAAAGACTTGAGAAATGAGTGGCTGTTCTTGGCTCTTCTTCCCCCAATACATCATTGCAAAACTTTATCCAATTTGTGGAAGGTTGTTCTGCAATGAGTTTCAACATATCACCCTCCTTCATAACCTGAATATGTGGAAAAAGATTGATATCATCATCCATTCATCCCCATCACCAAAGGTTCACCACGATATACACCGTATTTGAGAGGGTAAGTTCGAATGGTGCCTTAGAGTTTTGGTGTACTGCTAACTTGCTAGTTATATCTCTTCTTTCCTGTTTTCAAATCCATACTTCATCCATGCTATAATGTCATGGCAGGTTCTGGCATGAACGGCGCTATCTCTCGTTACAAACCAGGGCCAGATAGTTGCAGCATTGTGAACCGACATGCACGTTTCCTCTTAAAAGAGTGGTGATGGAACAAGTGAACAACTGACTTAACAAGGACAGACCATTTTGATGAACCATCTTGGCTAGAGGGAATGATTCACTTGGGCTCTTCAGGTGTATATTTTTTCCATGAGTATTTATTTATACAGTATTTTGTTTTTTGTCATTATTATTTCTTGTGCTAGTTCAAGGTTCTTGAGGAACATATTATATAAAGGAGAAGTATATTACCATAACTTGTTACTTGGCTGCTTTTCTATTTTAACTTGGGTATATCATGCTGGTGGTCATCACTTCCATTTGGTCTATGCTCAATTATAGGATGGCCATAATTTGCATTGCCTTTTATGATGTAGAACTTTCATCATTTTTAACTATATACGGAGTTTAATACTCCCTCTATTCATGAGTATTTGTTCACTTTTGACTTTTTTGGTCAAAATTGGTAAACTTTGATCTCAAATTAAATAAAAATGATACTACGGTATTAGATATTGATACAAAAAAAAGTTTTATTAGATTTATTATATTAAATATTTTCAAAATATTATTTTATTTAATTAAAATACAATGTATATTTTATTTAATTATAGGTCAAAGATTGAAAACAGTTGACCAAAAAAGTCAAAACTGGACAAATACTCAAGGACAGAGGTAGTAATACTCTATATTATATATTCGTTTGATGTTTGAATGTGTGAATAAAAAATAAGGGGAGTGCTAGGGAACCCCACATGAGGTACAAGTGTACACCAAGGCCCAAATAGGCACACATAACACATAGACACTTAAGTGTCTGTGTGTGCCTTGGTGTGCAGTCTGTGTGCCCCATGTGGCGGCATTCCCCAAGTATTATTCAAAGAATAAAGCTAGGGGTACACCATTTGGGTACACCAAAATAGTGCAAACACAAATATCCCGTGTCTGTGGAAATGATGTACCCGCGTGAATACATTATTCTAGCCACTTCTATAATATGCCTACTTTTTTTTCATTTTGTACGTGAACTTATAACTTATTTTTCTTAGAGTAAAGTCTATAAATAGTCTTTTATAACATAGAGTTTTTCATATGTAGTTTTCAATTTTAATTTAAGATATTAGATTCGTGGTATTCTATATTTGATAATTATTTTATAATTAGTTTTTGACCCAGATATTTTTTTTCACGTAGTCCCAAACGGAGTAATCATGGAATAATTTTTAAATATGAGCCCATGAAAGAAATGAAAAGAATTAAAAGCGAATGAAATTTATTGGATTTTAGTAAAAATAAAATAGAAGTTCTATGAACGTAAGTTGTTGATGGGAAATATATTTTCCTGTAAAATTTTGGAAATATTTTTGCAAAATAGATGAAATTATTTTTTATACGTATTAATTATCATAAAATATTTATTTACTCTCTCTGTTTTGAACTAATAGTCTCATTTTATCTCAAAAGATTAAAGTGAAAGAGTCTCTAAAATATCAGCTCTATTTGGAGGGAGGATGAACTCAAGTTTCCCCACGAAGGGCACGTCATCCTCAGCTATACACGTGGCAGGCGGCACATGCAAGGCCAACGTGTCACCTCCATGAGACGCCACCACTTCGAACTGCTTCCAAATCTATCTTCTATCCACATTTATTTATTTATTTAGACGAAATTATTTAATTTAATCCCAAATATACTTATTTAAAAACCTCCCCATGCACTACTCTCCCACGAAAATCTTCTCCATCAAAATAATAATAACACATATACAGTTTCAGAAACCGTTCGAACCTTTTCTTAACTAATTTTCAGACATCCTTAAACAAGCAAATTAAACAATACAATAATAATGGCTGCTGCCGGAATGCCATTAATGACGAGGAACGCCATTTTTAGCCTTTCTAAAGCTTTCTCTCGAACCCCTTCAAGGCCCAAACTCTCCAGAGTTTCCTTCTCCTCTGCCGCCAGTACTCCCGAGGTATATTTGTGTATGCAATTTGGTCTGTCAATATGTTTCTTTCGAGTCAAATTAGATAAATTCTAATCGTCAGTTAGTCTTTCCATCGGGAAACGATTTGCGTTGCGCATCTACTGTTCACAAGATCAAATGTTTTTTCACTTTATTTTTGTAAGTCTCGTAATTTAGAATGAAAAATTAGATCCGGTACAAAGGGAGTAAATAAAGATTTTATTGGATAATAGGACAAAAATGATTTGGTTACGTTTATCTCGCAAAAAATTATCCCATTTTTTTGTATTGATGTTTTCGTTGTATTAATATGTGCAATGTAAATTTAATGCAACTGATTAGTACAATTCGTCTAGTTTGATGCGAAAAAGTAAATTCGACGAATATTTTGGGATAGACGGAAGGAGTAGTAATATTATCATCCTAAATTTGGTGATATTAATTGAGTTTATATCATACTGAGTGTTTAAATGTAATATTCTTTGTATTTTATGGTCAGAATTTACTCCCTCCGTCTCGCAAAAAAGTTCCTCTTTCTTCTTTTCATCCGTTCCAAAAAACACTCCTCATTTCCTTTTGAAAAGTCACTTTTACCCTTACTAATTCTTAATCTACCTATCACATCACATTTTTTCTTTATTAATCCATCTATCACATCCTATTTTATCCATCACATCAAATGGCATCCATCACATCAAATGGCATTTTTGGAAAGTCAACACCAGAATACGCTCCCCTTAAATTCTCAAAAGATCAAAACGGGAAGCACGGAGAGAGTATAAATTTTGATCAAGAAAGGCAAATTTGAAAATAAGAGAGTAATTAGATATTTATACATGTGAAAAAATATGATGAAGCAGGGGTTTGGCGCATCCCAGGACTACAAAAGGAGAGAATACGCCGGAAACAGGCAGACGGTCGGAGACGCGGCGTCGGACATTGCCGACAAGACAAAGGAGAACACGAGAGAGGCGGCGGACAAGACCAAGGAGAAAACGCATGAAGTGGCGGGGAAGGCGAAGGGGGGAGCGGAGGAGCTGAAGGAGAAGACGAAGGACACGGCGGAGGACGCCAAAGAGAGGGCGGGGAGGGTGGCGGACAAGATG